AGACGGCTAGCGCAGATAGCCCTCGTGTAGCTTTGCGCGAAATCCATAACAAACAACAACACCAGGACAAAGTGGTTCATGTCTCCTTGGGGTCTATGTTTATACAGGTGGAGCAATTAGAAAGCCAAAGCTTTGTCTGCTTGCATTCCTTAGGTATATTTTCATCCGAGGGATTTTGGGATTTTACACCCAGATGAATGACAAAAATTTGATCAATATGGAATTCTCGTTTTTTTATACAGAAAGAAAATAGCTATAAATGGAAAAGTATTTTCTTCTGCTGACCACAGGGTATTCTATAATACATATATGTGTCCTACTTACAACTTAATGCATATTGTTAGTTTTATGTGCTCACAAGTGCTTTAATTGTGTCTCAAAACACTTTAACCTTTTAGCATTGAAAGTAAACTAATACAGATTCAAAAAATACTCTTGCTTTTTCTAATTATGGGTACTAGCATTTTTATTTTGTACTTATGGCAAAGCTACTAAGCGTGTCTGTCACTATCCCTAACTTTGAACTACTGACCAGAAGGAAGGCAGCCATTCAGCAGCACTCTACTACCCACTATCCAAACTAAAGGATTGACTGTAACTCTTATAACGCACCTATAGCTTTTTGTGTACAGTATTGCGTGGATTTGAGCCAGGTTTTCGCCGACTTCGAAATCCAGAGTTCCTACACAGGGTTTGTTTGTTTGTAATTAAGCACAAAGCTACACAATGGGCTATTTGTGCTGTGCCCACTACTGGTATCGAAATTTGGATTCTAGCGTTGTAAATCCGCAGACATACCGCTGTGCCACTGAGAAGCACCAACACAGGGCCAAACAACACAAACATAATAATAAAAAATGTTCATTGTGGTAAACGAAATAATAATTTTATCTAAGTAAGAGTTTTTTGTTTTTTCTTCCCGATTTGTAAAACAATACTTACGTGATAGAAACAAAATTAGTATTATTTTCGAAATCTGCGTAACTGAATTATGGAAAATCTGTTATTAAAACCTAAGCAATTTTTATGAAGTTTAAATTAACAAGTCTGTGTTATTATTACGCTACTCTTTTCTGACAGAAACTGGATGCGAACGCTGAATCCGCACATCGATAATCCGGCACACTAACTACCGGGCTACTCTCGGTCCCATATAGTTGAGGATCAATCTGTTGTGGTTTAAGACGTATAAAAACGTCACTTATTTTTTTTCCCCGAGAACGTATTTATTAACTCTTTCAGCACGGGCTCGGTCCCTGGGACCAACCTCGTAACCATTCACTTATAGAACAGAAAAAAAGAAAAGACGTTATTTAGCGGATATGAATATCAGGACTAACAGTAATTCGATAAATTCAAGATTGGAACATGACATTCTACTTAGCTCGCTCTATAACTTGCGTTATTTCTATAACACGAGGATTAAAAACATCTTTATTTCAATACGAGGAGATAATATGTTTGTAAATTAAATTTCGTACAAACCTCCTTGAGGCCTATCAGCGCTAGTCGTCCCTAATTTAGCAGTGATAGACTAGAGAGAATACAGATGGTCAACACTACCAACAGTCAACTCTTGGGCTACTCTTTACCAACACATAGTAAGACTGACCAATACATTTTATAGCACCTACGGCTGAGAGGGCGAGCATGTTCGGTGAGTGGATTCAAACCCGTGACCCACAGATTTCGAGTCGAACGTCCTAGCCACCAGACTATGGCAGGCCTTCCGCGTATGTCAACGTAAACTTTTCCTCATTATGGTGACCAGTCACTTTATCAATATGACTTACTGATTGTGTGCCACTTGCTATATACTTCTGAATCCATACACGTGTTATAATTCATATAACATGACAAGAGTATCATAAGTTGTACTGTTCTTAACAGTGGAAGTAAGTTTTTTCTATTCGTATTTAAAATTTTTATTTTCAATACATATTTTGAATTTACTGCCTTATTTTTTTTTGCCCCTATACTTGTCCAAAATATTTAAGTATTCAGAATAGCACGCACTGTAGAATTAGTAAGCGAAAATTCTGGAAAAATGTGCAGCGTTTAGGTAGCACAACAAAAATGATTTTCACTTTGTCACTACATAAATTTCTAAGTGTACAAAGGCTTATATTACTCCACGATGATACGTTCACCACATTCTTATAATGTCTACAGAATAAATCTACACTGGTTCGCCAAGGCCAATATCAAAATGAATGTGGGCCATTTGAAACACCGAAATTCCTAAGGAAATATTTTGTAATATAAGTAGATATAGAATATAATATAAGAACAAAAATGTGATGATAAATTAAAGGAGAGTTAACTGATAAAACAACAACTAAACCAACTACGAAGACAGGGCTCTACAGATTTTAAACGAGATGAAATGATCCAAATAATACTGTCTTTTACATATACTTTCATGAGGTAGCACTAAAGATTTGAAACGTCATCATCGTAACGAGACATCGTTAATATTCCTTACCTGCTGTACTTGTTTTCTAGGAGAAGCTACATATTAATCTTCATTCCTTTTTAACATAAATATACTTTTATGTGAAAGCTAAGACTATGATCATACATTTAACGGATTAATGTTACCTAAGTATGTATATTCACAATATGTAACTGTTCTTTAGCCTGGATGTTTTTAATTCCGTCTTTGTGATAAAAAACAACGTTTAAAAATACTATTAATATATAATCCCGTGTAAGCAAAACAATATTTTTGAAACAATGTAGTAATAAATGTTAATTTTGAAATAACATATTTATACACATTTTAGTCTTCATAATATTTCTGTTTTGTAGCCCCCCCCCCCGCCAGTGGTACAACGGTATGTCTGCGGACTTACAACGCTAGAAATCGGGTTTCGATACCCGTGGTGGGCAGAGCACAAATAGCCCATTGTGTAGCTTTGTGCATAACTACAAACAAACTGTTTTGTAGGAATAAAACAAATGGCTTTAAAGAAACCTACCAACTCTTCTTCAGTTCATTTATTCCACGACAAAATAATTAGCATCTTCTTTTTAGATGTTGATTTTTATTAGACAACGTTTCAGATTCTATACTGAGTAATCTTTTGCACATCACTGTTAATGATGTTTGAGAGGAAACATCCAAGGTTTAAGAAGAGCAAATATTTCTTCTTCGCCCTGTTTTTTGTTTCACGGTTAATCGTTATCATTAGGTTATTTTGCTGTTGTTTCTACAGTACTGCAGATACTTATGTAGTTAACGCGGACTTGTTTCAGAGCGGTCACTAAAGTTTAGTATTATATGATACAATTGTTTATCTGCTATGTCGACGGTGAGAAAATGTTAATATATTTGTTTTCTTCTCACAGGAGCAGCATCATGATGATTGACCACAGATTTTTGTTGACGGTCCTAGCAATGATTTTAATGTTGCCCACATGCACTGTGTGCGGTACTATGTTTCAGAATGAATACCAAAGTATTCCGAAAGACAATATTCACTATCAAGAAGGCCTTAATACGCAGTCATTAGACTCGCACATCGGCTACAACTCCCAGAAAAACGGACACACGAATGGCCATGGCGAAGAAGTTGACAATATTCCAAAAGCTAGAAGGTTAGTTTTAGACCTGTTAATAAGAACTTTAGCTCAAGAAGCCAGAGCGAGAAATGAACGACCAAACTTTCTCAATAACCAAGACACCGAAGGAGAGGATGAATATCGTTTAGAAGATTTCACAAAATCCGTGCAAGCATCCAAAGGTACTCAGCAGGAAAAGAAGGCCTCAGGAACAAAAGCTGACGGACCTCCAAAACAAGGAAAAAAGTCGAAAGCAGCAATCAGAAATGGAAATACCATCACATCGAAACGTGGTAATAGGCCTTCTTTGTCGATCGTTAGTCCGTTGGACGTCCTGAGTCAGAGGTTGATGTTAGAGATGGCTCGTAGGAAAATGAAACAGAGTCGACATCAGATCACTGCAAACGCTGAATTTTTGAAAACCCTTGGAAAAAGAAATCTATTCATTCACAAAAACATGTGAACGCACCATTATGGCCAAAAAAAGGTTACTAACAATTTATTTTTCTTGACAAAAGTAGTTTTATTCTAGTCTTAGACATTAACACAAGCAATTGAAGAGCATACCCATATACTTAACTAATTAAAGTTTATGATATTACCTTTTGCAAGTCAGAGAACCGAACACCATTAATTTCTTGAATTACAATAGTATGGACTTTACCCTCCCTAGAACCAAACTATGTTATAACTTATATCAGTCTAGAACCAAACTATGTTATAACTCACATCTGTCTAGAACAAAACTATGTTATAACTTATATCAGTCTAGAACCAAACTATGTTATAACTCACATCAGTCTAGAACCAAACTATGTTATAACTCACATCTGTCTAGAACAAAACTATGTTATAACTTATATCAGTCTAGAACAAAACTATGTTATAACTTATATCAGTCTAGAACCAAACTATGTTATAACTCATATCAGTCTAGAACTAAACTATGTTATAACTCACATCTGTCTAGAACCAAACTATGTTATAACTTATATCAGTCTAGAACAAAACTATGTTATAACTTACATCAGTCTAGAACAAAACTATGTTATAACTCACATCTGTCTAGAACCAAACTATGTTATAACTCATATCAGTCTAGAACCAAACTATGTTATAACTCACATCTGTCTAGAACCAAATTATGTTATAACTCACATCTGTCTAGAACCAAACTATGTTATAACTCACATCTGTCTAGAACCAAACTATGTTATAACTTATATCAGTCTAGAAACAAACAATGTTATAACTTATATCAGTCTAGAACAAAACTATGTTATAACTCACATCTGTCTAGAACCAAACAAGGTTATAACTTATATCAGTTTTGAAACATTTGCATAATACGAAAGACCAGTACTAGTTTAGAAACAGTTGCATAATACCAGAGAGATGTACTAGTTTAGAAACAGTTGCATAATACTAAAAACATGTACTAGTTTAGAAACAGTTGTATAATACTATAGAGATGTACTAGTTTAGAAACAGTTACATAATATTAGAGAGATGTACAAGTTTAGAAACAGTTACATAATACTAGAGACATGTACTAGTTTAGAAACAGTTACATAATACTATAGAGATGTACTAGTTTAGACACATTTTTATAATACTAAAGACATGTATTAGTTTAGAAACAGTTATATAATACTATAGAGATGTACTAGTTTAGAAACAGTTACATAATATTAGAGAGATATACTAGTTTAGAAACAGTTACATAATACCAGAGATGTACT